CACTTTTTTCCCCCCCCCCCCCCCCCCCCCCCTTCAAATTCTCATTTTATTAGAGCCCCAACAAGGTCTCAATTTAAATATTGTGACTGACACGAGCCAGCTCGGGCCAACACTTGAAAATAAGACTCAATTCTAATGAGCTAGAAGCCAAGCCGGGTCGTGGCTTTTCCAATTCCCGACCAAGCAGTGGGCAGCTCAAGCCAATGAGCCGAATTGGCGTCTCTAAATAAACGGCACAGGTGCTGTCCAGCTAGGTGCATGTGTCATCCAAGTCGTATATTTTATCTGTACAAGTAGCTTGATCCTTATTATTTTTGTATAATAAAAGAATTATTATTTTTAATATTATATATTTTCTAATATTTTTTGTTGGCCTAATACCTCCAACATCTCATGGCAGGCCGTACATCCAGATGGCCAGAGTTCAACTTCCAAGCTTGTACGCTCCCCATAATAATTGCAGAAAGCAGTTATCCCCACCTGCACCATGGCGTGGATTGCCCTTCAAACAGCCTTTCACATTTAATGTACCCAATCCAGTCTTGGTTTCAACCAACGAACTATTATTGGTGCTGGCACACTGATGGAGAAACCAAAAGATGCTGACAGAAGTGCCAGCCCCACCCTCAATGTACAAAAATCTGATACCAAATTTCTACTTGCTCCATATTCATAGTGCTTACAGAGAATTTTTCACCAACCAAAAGAAATTCTTAACCCAAAAGAATTGAATAATTACAAATAAAGCAAATGAAAAATAAATATAATTAAGATACTGAAACAAAGATACACATACTAATTGATAAATGTTGCATACAATAGGATTTCCCTTCACCCATGTTATATCTAGACTTGCGAAGGGAAGAGGGTTGCTAACCAAAAACCTGAAATCTAAACTGATAAAATACACAGTTTGAACATAGATTGTAAAACATATGAGAACTCATCTTTGGATCTGATCAGGTGCAAGGTTGCCAGCAGTCGATGATGAAGCCGCCCTACCACTCAGTATCCCATTATCAGCCGGAGGGCTTGATCCCCACTTGCCTTCAGATTCTGAGGGTTCTATTACTTTGACAGACCCATCCGTCAACCCAACAGCAAATTGATTGGGGTCCACTGGGTGTGCTGCAACCACGACTGGGTGGATAGCTTGGCTTCTAAAAGGAAGATATGACGTGGTTAGTCATACCATTCGCTCTACTAAGATAAAAATACAACAAATATGCAGTTGCAGTAAATGAGGCTTGTATCCCAGTTTAACACAA